CCTTTGGGTCTGCTTACAGTTTTAATAAAGAAAAACAAGCTGTTTATTTCAAAAAAATTAAATTAATAATCAAAAAGTTTCTTTTGAAACAATTATCAAAGCCTGTATGCCAAAATCGGGTGCCGTTTTTGAACAAAATAATGAGAATGAGCTGTAATAGCTTATCAGCTCAGCTGATTGAATCTTCTTGAATATGCTAAAGACTAACGGACTAGTGATAGAGAAAACTAGTGTCGTAACACAGATAGCTAGATGGGCGTATTTCGCCACTTGCGTCGATGCGCTACAAGTACATTTGCCATCGCGTCGTATGATCTTCTGGAAGTCATTTTTAATTGTTCGTGTTTTTGGAGGAAAGCCGGAAACGGAAAACTGATTTGGCATACAGAACAATGACAGAAAAATAATGTTATAGGCCCATTGTATGGCAACAACATAAAAAAATTGTGTGTACGCAATTGTAGGGGATCAGGCGAGGAAAGAGAGTTAAAATAAAATACCGTGCAATCTAGGCGCCCCAGATAATGACGGTTACGGCCAAGAAAATAGTCGTGGGGGGTCAAGGTTGTATATCTCAGTTGACTGGCCCTGGCCTGGAATGAACTGCCAAGTCAATTTGTTATTGGCTAATCTAATATTGTATTTAATCATACACACCAGGATACAAAGGTAATTATAAACCGAAATATATTGCGCATATGTAGCGTTGTCAACTACTCCAATGTGATCAAACCGCTCCATTGGGTCGCCAATTCCCGCGAGCTTCAATTTCAAATTGTCAAACAAAGTACAACAATACGTCAAGAATAATTTTAAATTTCAAGCACATGATGCGATTTTGACATAATTTAGCGGTTATCATTTTGTTGATGAGGATTAGCGCGGCGCTTCGCTTCCTAGCCATAGAGAGTTGCGAAAGCCGAAATTCTATGTCGAATCAGGGATCGCAGGTACGGAGTACACTATTGATACTGGAATGTCAAGAGAAGACCCTGGCTATAGAACTGCACCACTGGGTGGGTAGCGAGGACCTGGTGGCTACTCCATTGTCCCGCATGCTACACACAAGCCGCGTACCGAGGCTACAGCCGCAGTGCGCGCCCGCAGATTATTTTGTTGGGAACGCAGGAGATATATATCGAACGGAGACATGGTGGTACCGATCTTGCCCGCATCTTCGCTTGATCGTTGTAAGAATGCAGCGTGCGAGTATGTTGAGTTTAGCGAAGGGTACGCAGTGGCGCAGTGAGTACCCATACTGGCTCAGCAACTAGCCAGGATGGTTCGTTGCGCATCGAACGGGAAGTGACATGTGAGTAGCGGGCATTAGAGGAGCCTATACGCTCGAGTGTAATGTAGCAGAGCTGCAGTTTGATCTATCGTCGTATCATTCCGATTGCCCGGACGGATATGCTGGGACCTAGCTTTCTGGGTAAACGATATGAACCGATGTAGAAGCGCTGAGAGTTAGTATAGACGCGCATCGCTGGCCTGTAGGGCATTTTTTCCTAACTTTTTCCTCCCTATTAGGGTTCTTTTTTTTTTGCATTAGGGTCGGCAATTGCACCAATATGGATATCTTTTTTGGGTATGAGTAGACTCACACGGTACCCACACACACACCATTACGGAGAATTGGGGCCGGGGCATCGGATCATGACCTTGTTTTCTTTGTACCCATGGGTGTTACCCATGTGGACCCAATTACAACCCTGGATTGGTCCTAATTAAAAAATGCGCTCCTAATGAGCTTTGGCTATGGCTTAGGGCTTCTCCAATTGAGCATGGACGGCGATTCCGGCAACTGTATGTTTAAGCTTTAAAAAAATTGATGAAAAAACATTAATATTAGAAATAAGGTAAAGGTGTGGATCCATGGTGCTGGAGACCTTGAAGCCCTATGGTTGCTGCATTTGATCATCCATACTACGCAAACGCACATCGTCGATGTTGCCAATTTGCAGTTTATTTTCGTAATTATTGCAGTTTGAAAATTTTTGTTTTTTTTTTTTTTTTTTTTTTTTTTTTTTTTTTTTTATTATATTTAATATTCTAATAATTTCCCATTTGATCCTTGATATGCCTCCAAAAGTTGATAGGTACAGAAGGATAATGAAGGTATTGTGAATGTAAAAAGTATTTTATTCAACAGTATTCGACATGATATATAATACAAATTGTATATAATAAGATAACATTTATTTACTTATATTGTACATTAGAGATTTTATAATTATCATGTAACGGATTTTTTTCTTGATCGTTAAAACTTATTAGAATTTATTTTAGATTTTTCTTTCAAATTATTTAATTTCTAGTAATTATAACCCGGCAACAATAGTGAATTTATATGTTATTGGATTTTGAAATACTAGCTGGCATAATCGAATAAAAAACTGGCGTGCAACGATGCTAGAACTGAAGATTCGTGTCAGTTTTATATGTAAATTTATAAGTGAAATGGCATGGATGGTCATTTCCAAGGCCACACATGGCATCGCCGTTTTTTTCGATCATACGTACAAACGAACGACACGGTAACACTTAAGAATATAATATCACTGCAGTCACCGCATACACTTTAAGTTATATTAAAAAAAAATATATTACTAATATAATAACTGTTTTTTTTTTTTTTTTTTTTTTTTTTTTTAATTTCTTAAAAATATCCAAAGTTAGGTGGATTCAATTACCAATTTTAGGGAATAGAGTAGTTTTAGTCGAAGAGGTGGTTGATTAGATAGAAGATAGAGCTTTTAATGTTTTATCTTTTCGTCTTTAGAAGGAGGAATGGTTTGGTGTGAAGGAATACATTACAGCATTTAATATCTGTATTTTCACATTCCTTTTTAATTTAATTTTTTTTTTTTTTTTTTTTTTTTTTTTTTTTTTTTTCTTTACAATATGGTGAAGATTGAGTTTGATCTTATTAGTTGAGCCTTTTTTTATTACAAACCTAAATTAAGATAGTTTTAAGATCTTAGTTTGTGATTTACTAATAAGGATTCTTTCTTAAAATTTGTTTATGTCTTAATCTTGAATACTATATTATGCTTTGCCTGGAAAATAAATGTTAAATAGTCTTAATTTCGATATCTATTCCATCCTTTCATTAGGAAAAATATGGTCTATCAGTATAATCATATTAATTGCTAAGAAATGCACATAAATTAGGTGTAGAGAATAGAGAATCTCTTGTAGGTGGCAGAAAAAGAATAATGCAGATAATTATGTGTATACAGCTAGGCCAGAATAATAAAGGTAAACTGTAGAATGGTTGCCTTCGATAGCTGAAATTCTCTACATATATTTAGGACTTTACGGAGGCTAAAAGGTTCTTTAAGGCCTCCGTAGTTTGATGGAATGTTAAAAAAGCTATTAAAAACAAAATTTAAAAAAAAAAAAAAAAATTTAAAAATTTAACATAAAAGAATAAAAATAAAAAAACTTGGACACATTCCTTTTAATTTCGCGTCAATTTTTGAAATTAAAAGCCAACTTTATTTAAACGTAGCAATTATAATCTATGAGCCAAGTTGATAATTATATGGAATCTAGAAATTTAGTTTTCTAATTTAATTTATTGACTATGAAAAATTACATGAATATAGGCATTCACGGTTATGTTTTGCGAAATATTAAAATTGATTAAAAAAATAACTTATACCGCGTACTATGATTGAAAAAAATAGCGTCAGCGATGACTATGAAATGAAGACGCTTGTCCATTTTATATGGGAAATGTCTACGATCATCATTTCTCTAGCCGACTAGACGCTGTTGCTTATTTTAATCATACTTGGTGATTATATTGGGACTAAAACACTACTGACATAAGCAACATATTTGTTTTTTACTGAGATAATAATTCCAGGAAATTAATTCTTGCAATCTTTGGCAATCGATCTGCAAGAAGTGGCCATGCGTAAGTGTCCTGTGACTTATATACATGTCATATTATAACGCGTTTCAAGTTGACCACAACATTACGAAATTAAAATATATTAAAATGTGCAGGCCATGTAATGTGAAAATATTTAAAAATGGTTGCAGCCAAAAGCTATTCCCAATTATGACGGATGATGGCGCTTATCGTCAAGATTTTTGGACGGGGATTTTGCTTACCGACAATACGACGTTGAGCTACGACCGGACCACGACCAATCAGAATGATCAGTCTTTCTTGGACTTTTGCCGCGGAAGTGTGTGTTTATTTCTGTTGTGATAAGTGGGGTTGTGTTTGCAGTTGTGATTTTCGGTTTTGATTATTATGATTAACATTAATTTTGAAGTAATTTGTATAAATCAACCATTGGTTTTAAATGGAATATTGTACTTTTTTTTAGTCTATGATCCTGATGTTTATGATTTGTTAAATTGTTGTTTAACAATGGTTATACAAAGAGGTATATCTTAATATACTTATCAATTTGCATAGCCTAACTTTTTTATCCATAAACTTTGTAGATTTGTCAGAGTTTTCATAATTCTTTTGTTTCCGTTTGGTAATTTTTAATTTTGTAAGACATTATTATGTATTGTTTCTATCAAATATGTTGTAGAAAATCAAAATTGGAAATTAGCGAATAAAAATAATTAGAAATAAAATAAGGTGTAGTGTTTTACAATTCCCCCCGGCCCCGCACCCCTTTGGCTAACCTATAATGTTAGCTATGTTGAGAGATGGCGTTACGAAAATGGAACCGATTTATTACAAGAAACTTGGGCTTCTTTTTCGTTAGTATATTCTGTGATTATGTGTGTAGTACACACTTTTTTAGTTTCCAGGTCCCGTCCAAAACAAAACTTTCGCCGGGACAAACTTTCTGATTCCTGGTTAATCCCGGCCAAACCGGGACGGTTGGGAACCCTAGTTTGGCTTTTTAAATTAATAATTAATTAAAAGTTACTCGAGGAAAGACGTTAGTTGAATTCTTAAAATTTTTAATGTTCATAAATAATATAGTTTCAAAATAATAATATTTCAAGAATTAAACACATTTTACACTTAATAAATGCTTTTTATTTGTCATAGTTTATTTCGTCATGTTTAAATTAACTTAATAACTTATTGTTTACATTGAAATAAATCTAGCAGTTTAGTGGTAAATGCATTCTAATTTTTTTATTAGAATAATAATTGTTAAGTTATTGGAATGCAGGACAAGCAACATTATTCCAGTTTTCCTTCCACCGCAATGATTGGAATGTCTTTAATTCAGCTTTAAATTTTACATCAATCTCCTGTTGGTTTTTGTTATTAGGAAAATTGTCAAACCAAGAAAGCAATTTTGAAGATAAATCTTCAGATGTTTTGAAAGTGTAACTATTTTTCCCATCTGCAACTAATTCGTGCAAACTAAAAGGAATTGTTAAAATTATTTTAAGATATAAAGTAGTATTATATAGTATTTCATGATATACATACCATTTGAAATCATATGCCAGAACTGGAAGACAACAACCAAACATATCAACGACTTTCATAGGCAAATCTAGACCACTTGAGCTAGTATGCAGACAAATCCCTAAATCAGCAGAAGCTAGAAAAAATATAAACATAGTATTTTTATTATTTATAATCTTCTTAATAAATACCCAATATTAATGGATAATCACTAGAATCCAACCAGGGAGTTATAACTTTTATATGTTCCCAGTTTTCTTTGGCAATTATTTTTGTATAATACTGTTTTAAATAACCTTTTCCTGTTATGAAACAGATTAAATTAGGTAGTTTCCTTACATTTCCATTTCTTATGTGGTTTTCATAATCTGAAGATATAATTTATATTAAAAAAAGGTTATTAAGCATTTTTAAATTTTACCCTGCAAAGCTGAAAATAATATTGAAAAATCTTCATCTTCAGTCCAACTGGTACTAGATACCAATAATCCTGGTCTATTTTCTTTTAATACTATATCAGTACCGCTTAATTCTGTAAAAACTGTAGAGTTAGTTTCATTTAAAATAGTTTTATAGATCTGGCCCAGTTTTAAAAGGAAATTGTGCTTTTCTTTCAAAGTAATAGGTCGAAAAATTTCAGGTGGTTTATCATAAAGAGTTTGTGACCTAAAAATTAAAATATATAACATTTTAGTATAAAATCTACGGGCTTATCGAGTCTGATCTTTACTTAATATTCCATCTTGTAAGTAAATCATTTTTCATTTCGTTGGTTACACAGAAATTGTGGTCAGCTCTTGCTCCAGCAAATGCTTCACATTTTTCAGTCCATTTAACAAATTTGTTCTTTTTATCACTCTGTACATTTAAAGCCATAATAGTATGGGCGTAATTATGCCAATCAATAATAAATTTTGCCCGTTTAACTCTACAAAACAGCCAACAAACTACAAGACTTGGAATTGCTGGAGGATTTTGTACCATTAAAACACTAGGTGATCTTATAGTAAAAAGAAGGAATAACAGATTTAGTGCTTGAAATATAGTTTTAAATATATAATTTACTGATCTTATAGGTATATATGGTACTGGACATAAGAAATGATAGTAAATAGATGGCGACATTTTAATTTCATGCAACGGTTCTGTTTCGCCATAGCCAATAATATCCACTTTATGTCCTTTCTCAGCTAAAGACAATGAATGGTATTGCATCCTAGGGCTCCGTCCAATGTCCCCCAAAACCACTATACAAACATTTTTCTTTTTATCCTCCATGTTTTCATTTAAAGTTTGCGTGAATATTGTATACGTGACAACAAATAGATAATCTATTTCCTATCATGAATAAAAAGGATGTAGATAAACAATAAATCAATCTGAAAAACTGCTCAAAAACTATAAAATTATTTTTCTCAAAATTTAGTCTTTAGTCACAGGAAGAAGGAATAATAAACATGAAGTTAGAACAGAGAAATAGAAGGGATAGAGAATGAGCGTCAACATGCGCAGAAGGTCTAATCAAGTTGGGCGCCATATTCCAGGTCTTCCTGTCATTTTGTATATAGGTGGTAATCTATAAGTAATCAAATATCAATTTGCTGTTTTCAACCATACGGGGGGCAATTTAAATTTAGTGAAATTCTATCACACAGAATATACTAACGAAAAAGAAACCCAAGTTCCTTGTAATAAATCGGTTCCATTTTCGTAACGCCATCTCTCGACATAGCTGACATTATAGGTTAGCCAAAGGGGTGCGGGGCCGGGGGGAATTGTAAAATACACTTTTTTATTTTAATTATTTTTATTCGCTATTTGCAATTTTATTTTTAAAACATATTATGTGAAACAATCACATAATATGTCTTAAAAATAAAATTACAAACGGAAACAAAAGGAATTAAATAATCTGAAAATCTACAAAGTTTATTGATAAAAAAGTTAGGCTATGCAAATTGATAAGTATATTAAGTATAACCTCTTTGGTATAACATTGTTAAACAAACATTAACAAATCATAACATAGAAACAATCATAGAACTAAAAAAAGTACTATTACATAAAAACAGGTGATACAATACTTCAAAATTAATTTTAACATAATATCAAAACCGAAAAATCAAACTGCAAACACAACCACACTTATCACAACAGAAATTAACACACACTTCCGCGGCAAATGTCCAAGAAAGACGTCATTGTTGCAACTGCGTTAATACGCCTGGCGGTGACCGCCTTATATTCTTCAGATATAATACACTAAATATACGAATATTCTGACAAAAGACGCTACGGACAGATGACCTTTTCGTCGTTAAACACTCGAAATCATAGACTTAAAATAAAATTTTATTTTAAGTCTATGCTCGAAATGATATTAAATAAGTATTTACAATATTTCATGTTTACTTGTACTGAATTACGCGTATCAATTTAAAATTTTTGCAAATTTGGTAAAAATTGTTCTAAACACCTTTTTGTTCAAGTTGTATATTCATAAAAAACATTTGGTTCATAATTATTTTTGATGATTACCTACCTTGTATTTTTAATATAACCCTAGAAAAAATATGTTTTTGTTTTATTTTTTTTATTCGTCCCTTCAAATTATGTTTCAAAAACTGTTACATAACATGTCCTCTAACAAATATTTTCATAATACATAAACATCATTGATTTTATTAAGGGTATTATTATTAGTATTTATCCTGGTTTTTGTCGACAATAAAAACTCAATCTTGTAATAGAACATCAATTTTATATTTCGTAAAATTATTTTGATACAAATTCGATTTGTCAAAATTCAAGTCATTAATATATTGATAAACAACCCAAATTATTCCTAAATATTTTATTATAAACAAAAACTGTTACCGGTAAGTTTGTAAAACACATTATGGTTTGTCGTAATACTAGAAAAAATCATTTATTTTTTGCACAAAAGAAGCTTGTCGATCCTTATTTGTCCATAACAAAATTCTGTATGTACATATACCTAATTTATTATTAAGAAAATTAGATTATATGATCTCAGAATTTTAAGAAATTTTTTTTTAAGATAAAATAGTTTCTTCTCAACTGTAATATTGTCAACTTTGGCCTGTATTTTATCTATTTAAAAACATGGGATTGACAATCCCCTTACTAAAATACATACTGGAAGGTACCGATTAAGTTTCATTGCATCAAATACCTTTACTATAAATCCTGGCTCACAACTCACAATTTAAGGCCATTGCAAAATGCTTTTGAACTTCATCATAGATTTTACAAGAATAAAAGTGTAATATTGAAACAAAGTAACACTGTAAGCTTCATGACTAATAGTCTCATTTTTAACACTCTTTAAATATCATCTCGTTAACAATTATGAATATTATATGATTTTTCTCAGTGATTTGTGGCACAGATACAAATTAATATATGCCCCATAACAGTTTTTAAATAAGAAACTTCTGCCTACAGATTTAATTTTCTTATTGGCATAATACCCTTTCTTCCTATATAAATCTTGCCATTTTTTCAGTCCAATGTTCCTTGTTTTTACAGTTGTAGGAATACTAAAAATGTTGACTATAGAACTTGATACTATGTTTGAAAAAAAGCCTTCATACCTGTAACTGTGCATAAATCTAATTAACTGAATTCTCCTCCTCTTGGCACTCTGAACACTGCTGCTGCTAATGTTAGAAATATTTAGCACAAAACTACAACTACCTACAACAAACTTTACAATAAAAATGTTAAATTTTCGCTGTTCGATTAAAATACCCTATCTTATGTTTTCTTTTCCTCCAAATAATCTTCTTGTCAAGTAAGGACCAATCTTATTTGACATATTTCTGGTACACTTGAACTTGTGCTTTCATGGACACTGTAAGAGTGCACTGCAGAGGTGCACTGTTTTAAAGAAGCATGAACATTGATTCCAAGTATCTTCTTCCTCCACACGTAATAAAAACATCCTCTTTAAATGGCCACATCATACACTTATTTTTGACCATTCCCAATTACAATCACGATTTTTACAAATCGCCTTTAGGAAAACTAAAAATAAACAGTTTTGGATCATCTGTAAACACGATTATGTTGTATAAACTTACACATGAAAACTAATCATTTTTCCCGGCGTATTAGCTTTCTTAGAATGACTATGACAATATACAATAAGCCTTTTTGAATTAGTGTTTAGAATAATTGAGACTCTGATTGAGATAATAATAAATTTTAACTAGATAACAACTATAACAACACGAACGAAAAAAAAAACAAAACAAACAGATGTCAATTAAAGAGGGGAAGTGACAGCGAGACCTGGAAGATGTCTGCCATCTTGCCGTCGACAAAAATTTGGATGCGCACTCGTCGAAGCTCATTCTCCCACTTCCATATCTCTGAGTTAGAACCATGTTAGAACCAAATTGGTATATATGATGATATGACATATGCATGGTACAAAGAATACAAGGTATGATCATGATACAAAGAATACAAGGTATGATATTGCGCAGGTTGGTCACTACGTCACAGGTGATAAACGGCACCATTGGTCGACAAGCTCTGCGCGCCAATTTCAAATTGTCAAACAGATTGTGTCATCTGTGAAATTTGATTGTGTCAAAATGTGAAAATAATTTTTCAAATGTCAAGCTCGATGATTTGACATAACTTTTGGGGATATATCCTAATTCTTCCCTATTTTAGGTCTCTTTTTATTAGTGGCAACTGTACAATATGGATATTTTTTTGTATGGCGTATGACGTCACAGGTGGTATGCGCAAACTTAACGAAATTGGAGCCGCTATCGATCATACCTTGTTTTCTTTGTACCATGTATGGATATGACCTTTTTTATCTTTCAGGTTCAAGAATATCTCATGGATATATGGGATATCTTTAAAAGATTAAAGTGGTGTTTAATCTGTATTTAATGTTCCTTTTTTGCTGCTAAAATTAATCTTATCTGGACGGAGCCCAAGGCCCAAGGACGGAGCCTACAACCTGCATTGTTTACGCTTGATTTACGCATAATCCAAACTGCAGTTTTCGGATATTTTTTTTACCAGGGTTGTATCTCCTGTATTAATTCTATAGTATTGATCATAGGTGGATATAAATTACCAACTCTGTAGTCCAAGGTTTATCCACAGATTAGAACTTTGAACTATTCCTAATCGTTTAAAAAATATTTCAAATATTTCAATTTCAATATTTCAATTTCAATTGCCATTTCCAATATGAAGGTGTGTGATGAACGTTTAATTCGTATAGTTTCATTCTTTTTGGTTGATTTTACCGTGTTTAATTTTACTAGTTATAATATCCGAGTTGATGCATTTATTGTTCGTTGAGCGTTAATCAACATAATTAATTACGCAAATATTGTAAGAATTTTAAAGTCCATTTTGTCAAGACTGACAAAAAATTGACAGTTGATGACCGAATAAAATAGAATTTTTAGAAGATAATCCACGTTTTGTATTTAAAGGTCTTTGTTTTAATCTAAAAATTTGAGAACAATAGTATCCAAATTTTAAATATAAAAGTTTGCAATAAATTTTATTTCGGGATGTTGAAGTAACATGTTATCTAGTAGTACTTCTGTTTACAAGCTCAAATCTTCAAAGAGCTATAGAGATGTTCCGGAGGCTGATTATTCTCACTCAGATGAGAGTGGTGATCACGAGGTAACTGAAAGATTTTCTAGTTTTTCTAGAGACAGAGGATATAGAGGTTCAGGTAAGATTTCATAGATTTATTATTTAATTTGTTTAATCCAAAATTTATAGGTACAAGTCGGAACAGAACAAGATCAACAGAATTTAGACCTAGCAGAGGCATTTCTAATAGTACTAGAAGCGGATTTAGAGGACGAAGGGGCGATTCAGTTAGAAGAAATGATAGAGAGTACTCTGATAACTATTATGGGAATAGAAAATATGAAAATAGTAGAAGTGAAGCCAGTGGAGGTATTTTATAGTTTTAGACTTGTGTTTTATTTAACATTTTCAACCTCTTTAAAGGATACAGAGGAAAATGTTATGAACCAGAAAAGAAAATTGACATTAAACTTAACCTTCCTGAGGATACACGTATTTCAAAGCTTTTAAGACGACTTAACATTGAAACAAATCAAGATAATTCTTTACAAATATCAAAAAAACTACTTGAAGTTTTGTTACTGCCTGATAATGCACCTTATATTAGGTAAATATTTGTACTCGGTATATATATATTTATATTTAAAGAGTTACTGCTTACAGGAAAGCATTTCACATTTTGGGAGAGTCCATGTTTGAGATTTTACATGTCTCTCCAGGAATATTGGCTAAGCAACAGGCCGCCAGGGCTTTGGGCAGAATGGGTTACATAATGGGACAAGAAGCTGATTTTGAAAGGTACTTATTTATATATTTTGTATTCCTTTTATTTGTTTTAAATGTTTGTAGGTATTGCAACTGGCTTTTCGCTAAAATGAATTCAAGTAATGAGAGAATGCAAGTTTTGTTGATGTCATCATTTAAAGAGACATTTGCCTTGGAATTAAAAAAACCCACTTTAGAAGATCATGTTGAGGCAGTAATTAACAATTTAGTAGCTTCAATTGAAACTACAGAAAATGCAGAGGTTTTTAAGGCAATTTTGGAAATTCTTGTATTGATAGTAGAGATGTACCCAAATGAGTTTTGTACTCAATTTAAGGATACAATAGACTTACTTTTCGGGTGGCATGTGGATCACACCCAACCATTATCAAATATTGAATTTATATCAAAAAGCTTACAAAGACTATCACATCATTTTAAATACAACATCTACTTCTCTGTTTCACTTGTGGAAAATTTTCTTGAGGACATAACAAACTATGGAGCAGAATTAAATGCACCTGAAACATTAGATCACGTAACAGTGTTAATTTTAGCTTTAAATACTGTTTTGAAATGCCTGGATATTAGTTTCCATCCTTCGAACAACAAAACTGTTACCACCGAGTTTATCATCACCTGTTTAGTTAGTGTTATTAAAACTGTAAGCGATGCTTTAGATAGTTTTGTTCATGAAAATTTAGTTATTGCCGCAAATGATTGTATTTCTATTTTGTTGGGTTACTTAGACAAAAAGCCTCATACTTTATGTAACTCGATTTATAATTTAATTGATCTTCAGTTGACACTTATTAATGATTTTTCCGACAATGCTGTTATATCAATGCTACTCTTAATTGCAAAAGTAGTAAAAGAGCTTTCTACAAATCTTCCTTTGGAATTGATAGCAAAGTTAATAGGTCCCAAGAGTGATATTGTTAAGCTTCGATCATCTCCATACAGTAATATTCAGAATGCTGTTATTTGTATTTATCAGTCGTTGTTAAATTTGAAAAATGTGTCTCTCTTACAAGAAGCCTATAGATATGTGTTGGGAGATCTAGAAAGATTTTATAAAAGAATTGTACCAGAGTTTCAAGGTGTAGTCCAAAGCAATCCATTTGAGGAAGAGGCAGGAAATGATGAATTAACAATTTTGTTTTTGTTAAGATGTCTTTCTCAGTTAGCTAACGCTAGTTCTATTATTGTAATGTGGGCACTGAAACCCAGTATCTTGGAGTTGGTTGGAGTAAATGTGTGCCCTCATGATCCTCTTTTAGCTAAAAAGTATCCACATATTCAGTATAGTCTCCTGTATTTATTATTTGCCCATTGTAAATGCTATAATCATTTTATTTCAAATAGTAATCTGGTCACCACTAAACAGGAGGTTAATAGATTTGCATTAACTGAAGGGCTAAATATTAATGATGTGCCCAGTACCTCCCCAAACTCTGGCAATTTTGCTGTCATTTTAGAAGTTCTGTATAGAACTTTAAAAACAGAAACCTCTCCAGAAGTCACACTGTTGTTATTGCAGTGGCTTAACGATATCTTGCTGAATTCAGAAAGTTATTTAGAATCCTTTTACTTGAACGAGAAATTTGCATTAGTCACAGAAGTTCTTGTGAAATGTGGGTACCATTTTAATGTTCAAATTATTGAAGCCGTTTGTGACAATTTGGAAAAGCTGCTCAGCAATAAACAACTGGCATGGAGCAATATATTTTTATCCAATGTTAGTGACTTGTGCAAATTGCACATGACATCAAATTATCACTCTGTTAAAGAAAATTACTCCAAACTGTCTTCTTGCATACCTTGGGACGTAGCTGTAGTGGAATTTAACAAGGTCCAAAATATAACCAATTTCAAACAGAAGACCTGCAGTTCCAAAACATTCAATAGTTATATGATTTACGTAGCTCAAAGTTTACATCTTAATGGATCAGTAGATGGAGAAATGTACCCAGAGCAATTTAAGAAGTTCATGGGAATTTTACTAGCTAAAAGCAATGGTGAAGCTGAACTTTTAGAGGATATATTTACATCTTGTTGGACTCATGATAGTGAAACTCTAATGAACATGGAACTTTTTTATGATCTAGCTATGGGATCTAAGCAGGTACTCAATAATTGGTGTACCTTAGAGGCTGCACAGTATTGTGTCAATTACAAATTGCGTACTCCACTGGGAAAACCCAATGAAACTTTCATGAAAATAGAGTACGCTTTAAATCAACTTGGTAATGATTTGATAATGATGAAGAAAACCAATGATAGACTCAACGAAAGAGACGGGAATAGAGTGAGAACGTTGCTTCACTTTATTGATCATTTAGCTAAATCAATTTACAATGCTTCAGAGGGTTGTGCAATTGCTATGCCGGCGGCAAATAAGGCAGTGAGATCTTTTTTTGTTGCCAATACCAACACGTGCAATGAATGGCTGTCTAGAATTTCTATGGTGGTGATGCATATCGCATTGCATTGCGGCGAGAGTAGTATTGCTTTGAAGTACGGCCAGTGCGCATTACGCGACATGGTAGCGCAAGGAAAGGCTGCGACAACTGAATTTGAACGGGCCGCGATGTTTGTGACGCTAGCATTGCTTAATCTTAAAGAACCTGAGGCTTTATATGGGCTCTATACATGGTGCAAGGTGCATACTGGAAAGAGGTACATATGGATTCGCGGAGCAGCTGAACAAGCGTCGAAGAAATACGAAGTTGCTGCAGAGGGCTACAAGAAGATATTGCAAGAATCAGTTTTAGAAAAGGAAGACAAGAAATTAGATCAAGACGTTTATAATTTCATCCAGGATCAAGTAATTGTGTGCTATAAAGAGTTAAATAACTGGATGGAACTGTTTGAATGGAATGAAGAGAATCAAACTAGCGGGCTAGAAAATGGAAAAAAATATTGGTTTAATACAAACGATTGGGAATGTAATAAAAATCTTTATGAATTTGAATCCGACAATCAAGCTGTGGTTGAATTGGGCACATGGAAAATTAAGGATGAGAACTCGACGTGGAGTCTTTATGAGAACCTGACAATAACTGAAACTAACATTTACAATATAGCTTTGTCCCTGGCATCGGGTACCGACGATCAAATTATAAACAACATCGATAATAGTTTGGAAGCTATACAGAAAAACGTTCAAGACTTGCTTCCTTTAGCACCATCAGAGTTTTTACAAAATTACTCTGTGCTTCAGTATGTAGGGATGGGCTTGAGACGTGTAGCAGAAGGCTCGCCCGCTCACACTGTCTTTCTAGTCTCAGAAAATTTTGAGACTGAAATCAATAAAGTTGACACGTCCGTACTGCGAAAAATTCTGTGGTGGTCGGAATATTTTGGCAAAGTTCAAAACCAAGGATTCAACATATTCTCCAGCAACTTGAGGTTGCACATTATTAAGAGAGCAAGAAAAGAGAAGAACTTTGGTCTCGCTACCCGTCATATATTTAAATTCTTTAAAGATAAAGGTGTAGAATTTACAAGCGATATTTTAAGCGCCTTTAACATGGAAAAAGTCTCAGATATTAAACTTTGGACGTTAGATACTGCTAGAGCTATGTGCGAAGTTATAAAAGTTTGTCACGCAAATGAAGATTCGCGCCAGATGGCATTTAATCTTTGCGCGTCTGTTTCTACTACTATTTCAAAATACGCCGAAATGTACGGTAGTATGGAACATCGCAAAATTAGTAGCAAAATACTCCTGAAACTTGCAGGGTGGCTGCAGAATAATGATAGTGTTAACATTGCAGAAATGAATAGTCCTCTAGGAAAACTTGTAATGGTACTTCCAGAAATTGGAATGATGGAAGGTCCAACATCTAATTTTATACCATTAAACGAAATGGCCATAGGAAAACTGTTACAGTTCAGCGTACAACAATGTGTTAGTTTGGCAAAAAGCTGGAACGCTTTTGGGACTTGGTGTTACAAATGGGGCAAAAAAGTTGTTGATCATAGTTCAGATATAAAAAATAACTTATCCGAAGAACACTGTTTGGAAATTAAAGCCCTGTTGCCTTTCGAAACTCCAGAGGAGGACTTAACGAAAATATTTTTAATTTTGTCCCAAACCAGAGCCGTTATCGACGAGGAGGACATTGATTCTAACGAGATAAACACGTCCGATAGGATACAGACTCAACTTCTAGCAGTAGAAGCACTGAAAAATGCATCGGAAGAACAGTTTCGAAGTTTGGTTCAAATTTGGAGAAATACCCAAAAGAGAATTTATTACTATTATGCTTTAAGCGCTGAAGCGTATTTCAAATATTTACATTTGGTTACGGTACCAGAAAATATAACTAGGAGCACCGAATGCAATACCATTACCATAACTTTAAGACTACTGCGACTTATAGTAAAATATGCTTTAGAACTACAAAACATTTTGGAGGAAGGCCTACAAAAGACGCCAACTCAACCGTGGAAGGTGATTATTCCGCAGTTATTTTCCAGACTTAATCATCCAGAAAATTACGTTAGACATAGAGTATCGGATTTGCTGTGCCGCGTTGCCGAAGACGCTCCACAACTTATAACATTTCCCGCTGTTGTCGGTGCTCTCGAGGGGGGCGTTAAGTTTGAATTTGGCGATATCAAGTTGCCTAAAGATTGCCTTTCTCAAAATAACGAAGATGTAGAGGAGAACGATTTGGAGAACGAAGAAGATAATTATGACAGTGATACAGAGGAAGTTGTTAATAATAGCTTACAAGCTTGCTTTAAAACCATGGTTGATACTCTTAGCAAACAAGATCCGGAGACTATATCGCAAGTTCAGACGTTAGTTAAAGAACTGAGGAGGATAACTCTGTTGTGGGACGAGTTATGGCTCGGAACTCTCGCTCAGCATCAGTCGGAGATCACCAAGCGACAACAACAGCTAGAGTATGAAATCGAGAAGGTAAATGAAAACGCCAACCTGTCGAAAGAAGAAAAAACGTATCTGATTGTGGAAAAGCATCGTATAATCATTAAACCGATTGTTTTTGTGTTGGAGCAATTGCATGACGTTACAAGTGTCGAGCCCGAGACGCCTCACGAGAAACACTTTCAGGAGAAATACATGGACGACATAAAGGAAGTGATCGAAAAACTAAAGAATCCCGATAGCCCAGAACGACCGCAAGACTCCCTAGCTCCACTGAAACAGCTACAAAAGAAGTTCCAACAGAAATTCCATAAAAGAGCTTCGTATTCTTTGAGAATGCAAGATATTTCGCCTGTACTGCACGCGATTAAAGACACTCTGATCGCTATGCCTGGTTTGGCGTCAAGTAAAAAGAACGTTACTATATCTCACGTCAACAACATAGTTACTATTTTGCCGACTAAGACCAAACCAAAGAAGTTGATATTCATTGGATCTGATGGACAGACATACACGTATTTATTTAAGGTATATTAAAAGATTCTAGACGAAAAAATATATGTAACTTATATTAAAATATTTCTGTCAGGGCTTAGAAGATTTACATTTGGATGAACGAATAATGCAATTTTTGAGCATAGCCAACACGCTGATGGCTCAGAACGCTGATCCGGCTGGTCATAACTATTACAGAGCAAGACACTATTCAGTAATTCCATTAGGTAAGAGCTGACTATTAAATATTTTATTTTAAAATTACTTTATAATTGTGTTTTTTAAATGCTTTCAAAAGAACGGAGAAAATTATAGCTTAATGTTACTAAAATATGATAATAAAATAAAACATATTTTCTTCATATTTTAGGACCAAGATCTGGTCTTATTTCATGGGTGGATGGTACTACACCGATATTCGCTTTATACAAGCGTTGGCAGCAAAGGGAATTGGCGAAACCAAATGCAAAAGGTATGTTCAGTTTTAATTTTATTTATTTGTATTGCTACAGCTAAAACGGTAGTTATAGGTTTAGCTAATACGGGTTTTAAAATATTGTATGGCGTATTTCTAAATAGCGGATTTTTCATACAATCCATTCACTAAAGCCTCGGTTTCCTACACAGCGGTACCGCTAGAGAGCGGCCGTTTTAGCCGACCAATAGTACGGCCGCTTTGACGGTGAATATTATTTTAAAGTAACATTAAATACGATGGCGTTAAAATACTGCCACTTTTCGCTTTGTGTCAGTTCAAATCAAAATATAAATAAGAAAAAGAAAAAGGAAATAAGAAAGAAAAAATTAGCAGAAGCTAGAAATTAGGAAATAATAGCATAAATAGTGATAATTCTGTTAAATAGAATATGGTTAAGGACGATTATTATAAAGATCTAAATTCATTTTATTCTGAAGAAATAAAAATTCCAAAAAAAGAAAGCAAAGTTCCACAAAGAAGCAGCCCTGTAATAATTAAATTTATTATTAAGGTTTTAATATATTTTGTATTTAAAATTATGTTACTTATAATTATAATTTATGAAATAGGGTTCAAGTTGTTTTAGTCTAAACAGAATAAAATTTTGACATAAATTATTGTTTTTGTATAGGACAATATGGGGTATTTTTATTAAAGCGTAAATTATTCAATATGCTTATGCTCATAGCTGACTAAACTTTAATCATTTATTAATCTGTCTGGCTACGATTCGGCATTTTGTAACACGACTGAAAACCTGCACTCTTTTTGCAGAAGTGTCCAGAAAATATCGTCATTGTTTAATATGCCTAATTCTGATTAGGCTTTTTGGAAAGTGACTGAAAATAGATAGGCTTTTTGTAAAAATCCCTTCTTTTAAATTTCTCCCCGTAGATTTGGTTATAATAGATAGACAGAAAGATGAGTAGGTCTTACAGCAAGCATTTATATATATGTTCCCGTCATCCCTTCGTGGGACATAGGGCTTCTAAGAGATGTTTCCATCTGATCCTATTCTGAGCTGTCTGATCTCTCCCCATGTTTTCCCAACCTCTTGGGCTTCAGAGGTTACTGTTCTTCTCCAGGTATTCCTTGGTCTTCCTCTGGCACGTCTTCCCTGTGGATTCCATTCAAAACCCTCATGCGCAAAATGTACCCAATCTAGCCCCACTTTCTTTTCTTAATTTCGATATCTATTCGATTTTGTGATGTTTTTCTCCACAGTTCTTCGTTGTTAATTTGATTGGGCCAGAAAATTCTCAATATTCTTCGAAGACACTTGTTAACAAACACCTGTAGGCGATCCATGAGACCACGCGTAACCTTCCATGTTTCGCATCCATAAAGCAAAATAGATTTGACATTGCTATTGAAGAGCTGGACTTTAGTTTTTTTGCTATATATAGAGGAGTTCCACACAGGTGTAAGCATGCCAAAAGCTTACACCTTTACAATAAAAAAAATGTGCTTTCAAAATCCTTTCCTCTATATCTTTCTCTGTGCCCCCATCGCTGTGAACCATACTTCCCAGGTACTGAAATTCATCAACTCTTTAGATGGCTAGGTTGGAGAGGTATAGAATCTATACCAAGATCTATACTATAGATCTTGGTTGTTGGGAGTATTTGACCTCATTTCTTTGGTTTTCGCCACGTTAATTTGAAGACCGACATTATTAGCTTCCTCTTGGAGTCTAAGAAGTTTTTGAGACATATCCGAATGTGAATGAGAAAAGATGCATAGATCGTCTGCGTAATCCAGGTCTTCTAGCCTGCTTAAGAGTCCCCATTGTATCCCTAGCGGTTCTTTAAATTCACTATTTAGTGCTACATCCAGAACGATGTTAAAGAGTAGCGGCGAAAGTATACAGCCCTGTTTTACACCTACTGCAATAGAAATTTTCTCCCCCACAGCAAGCATTTACTTGTCCGTTTTTCCAGAATTGAACACATTTTCTTGTTTTCCGACCTAGCAACGGATGAACCTGATACTTTGCTACATAATATAGAATTTATTTCAAAAAAGCAGGTAAAAACTTTTGAGATTGTTGACCCGTTAGTTTAAAAAATCGTTATCCACTTAGAGATTGGCTTAAACAAGTTATAAGTTGCTTGTATTTGTTGTTAAAATTCGTTTCGAAGCAGAGGGCTTACCGTGTCTGGCGAAAGAATATCAGAAATATCTGGGCTATCATCAACTGCTAAGCTATTTAATGAGTGCTTAATGCCCAAAAAGCTTTTTAGACAAGAAGCAAAGCAGCCCCATCTTGTTTTTACCAAAAAAAAGGAATAGGGTAAAGCGGGAAAAAGCAATATTTCCAGTATTGTCGATCTTGCGGTAATATTACCAGAATTGCCGGTAATATTACCCTTTACATCATTATGTATATATCGTAGTCTCATAGTGTATTTCGTCTTTTTATGAAGATCCTAGTCACTTCATGTAGCGTCGGTCGGTTAGATTAGTTAGGTTATTAGGTTAGTTTATTTCATGAAGTGACTAGGATCTTCATGAAAAGACAGAGTACACTATGAGACTACTTCATATATAAACTCACCTTAAACATATTTAAGAATCTAGTTTAAATAGAAATGTCACAATGTTCTAGATTGAGGTTATTTCAGAGATTGTATTAAAGAATAGGATTTTTTTGTATTCAAAAATAGATCGATTTCCTAAATATCAAAGTTAAAAATTAATTTAAATTAAGCAGAATAAAGAAAAGCCAAAAAAATGACGTCAATGAATTGACATAATTTGCTAAAATTCTTCGATCGATAATTTGTTTTAGCATCAGCACCAACGACTAATACTAAAATCTTACACAGAATTAAAAAATGTCATATAATTGACTCATACTGATAAAAGTACTTTTTAGGTGCGGGAAATACAACTACAGTGCCTCGACCTTCCGAACTGTTTTACAACAAGCTTATCGAACATGGCGTCAAAAACATCGATAACCGCAAAGAGTGGCCGACGGCCGTTTTGAAAGATGTTCTGACCGAACTTATGGCCGAAACGCCTAGCGACCTCCTAGCCAGAGAACTGTGGTGCAACGCCGTATCGGCGAACGCTTGGTGGCAAGTGGTGAAGAGGTATTCGTACAGTGTGGCAGTCATGAGTATTATTGGTGAGTATAGGTTTATGTCGTGTTTTAATTTTTATTAGTTTTATTATATGTATAACTGTAGTAAAGGCGATATAAACATAAATCCAATTTAGGGGCCGTCCTGTATCGTAAACACCAAAGGCCTATTCTGTTTGTTCCCTTTTCTCTACACATAGTATCCTATCCCTGTGCCCTACACCACTTCTGCAGGTCTTTGATAGGATGGCAACATCAGTTCAGTTCTTCTTGTTGCCTTGCTTTCTCAAATAGAAAGATTTGCTTGTGATTCAGAGCCTATAGTGACTATTATGCGCTCTGCTCTATCGGCTCGGATATTTATCGCAGAGTCTGCAATAAAGACTTCCTTGATATAGTACTATTGTAATCCGCATTTTATTCCTACTGAGCATTAACAGTTTCCTTGTGGTTTTCGAATTAGGTCCTTCGATGAACGCCTTGCTATGCTTGTGCCCCTTCCTGGTTCTCCAGTGAACATTCCACTTTTTACCGATCCAGAGTTTTACTGCGTTATAAGACATTAAATTAGAAAGCTTTTTCACTCTTAACACATTTAAATTTCGATTCCGCATGTCATTTTCTAATAAAAAATTTCTGACGCAGTCGTCACTTTTTGTGAAACACTATATAAATTTGCGACCTTTTAACTCGAAATGTTTCCGAAAGGAATGCACTTGACTACTGACATTTACTAATATGTATATATGCGTATACCGTTTAAAACTTGATTTTCATGCATCCGTTATCCGACGATACAACGATACTATATTTTAATTTTATTGGTTGAATTTTCGATTGGTTAAAAAATTACGCACTTTTTAAATTTATGCCTCTGTTTATCGGATATACGAATTGCTTGTGATTGATGTCAAATTCGACAACAAAAAAGTATTGTTAGATTGCAGTTGTCAAAATGTCTGTTATCGTACGAAAAGTTAAATTTATTTATACTTTTCCCGATGACGGACCGGAGTTTAACATTTACGGATGAAAAGTGACGCGAAAACACACAACAAAGACCAATTAGAGTGCCGTCGAATCATTGTATCAACGGATAACGGATGCACGAAAATCAAGCTTAAGTTTTTCGTCAACAACTGTCTCGACAAGCGTCTAGCCGCTACCGTTAACCAACTTTCCTGAAATTCATCATCAAAGCCGATCAATGCAGCAGGTGACTGAAAATTTTATGTAAAACATTTACATCAGAATCAGGACATTCAAAGCAATTAAATTCATATTAAAGTAGGTTGAAACCAAAGCAATCAAAACACGCTTGTCGAGACAGTTGCCTAACTAAAGGGTACGCATATGTCATATTTGTCATATGCAAATGAAGGGTCCAGGGAAAAAACATAATACGCGCCATTTTACTAATTTTACAGGAGAGCACTGGACGACTGGTGGTTATCAGGTTCTTTCCGTGTATTCTATATTTTTACTATAGGCATATATCATAGGATTTAACAACTTAATTGCCCTGCAGAGTTTATACATTTTGTAGGGACGAGTTAGACCTACTTTAATATTGTAAAATCCTAAAATTAAGAAATTGGCGCTTAACAAGTTTTTCCCCTGGACCCTTCAAATGTCAGCAGCTAAGTACATTTCTGTCTTCTAAAATCCTATTAGTACCGATAGAACTTTTTTAATAAACGACAAGAGAATCAATTTCAAATCAAATATTCAGTGATAAAGGGTGATTATGAAATTTCACCTCTCGTATCTTAGTTGTCTAACAACTTATTAAAAAGGCAAAACGAATACTTATAGACCTTTTTACATGAAATCCAGTGGTCTAACTAGTTTTTATTAATATTTCAATATTTCATTTATTTTATAAGATATTGACCAACGTTAAGGGTTTTTAAACAGGACACCCTGTATATTTGTCGAGAAATTGTTCTCAAAAATATATAACAGTATGCCTATATCTACAGTTCTGTAGTAGACCATGCAAAGCAAGTTAATATAAATTGTACGTTTAATAATTGCATAAAATATAATATTTATGTTAAAATTAAAAAAAATGTTACTATATGTTTTCAGTTTTATTTTTTTATTCGTAGATATTACAAGCGCAAGATAAGCACATATTGAAAATTAAATATTTAAACTTGACCTATTTGTGCCTGTACCGGAATTACTCTGTTTATTCAACATATTTCCGAAATAAATCGGAGTAATATTTTCTCAGGAGAATATGGAAATATTAGTCGACTATGCGTCGGCACTATTAGATGTATTCTTTCTCCCTTTAAGTGGATTGAACTGAGTTTATTCAACACTCTTACATAAATTTACTATCTCAATAAATTTCGTACGTTCTATTTACATAACGTATGAGTTTGAATTAAATGTTCTGTCGCTGAATTCCATCTTCTGTCGAGGCTAGTGAACTTTGTAAACTTTTTCTATGTTCCGAGAATAACGTTTTAAGCTTGATTTTCATGCATCCGTTGTCCGACGATACGATGATACGATATTAATTTTATTGGTTGAATTTAAAAATTTGGATTGGTTAGAAAATTAAGCAGTTTTAAATTTACTGCATTTTCATGCCTCTGTTCATCGGGATATATGATTTGCTTGTGCTTGGTGTCATTTTATATTTTCATTTTCATAACGATTTCGCTGTTTTACTTATAGTCTAAGAGCTAGCAACGTTTTCGGGAGAGAATTTTAAGAAAGCTGGTTCTTTAATATATCTTTTGCTATGCTCTCATGAACAGAGTGCGGACCTTCTGGCTGCCGGTAGACGTTGCCTTCACTACTGCGCATCATATCTGTAGTTAGCATATGTTTATTACTGCGCATTACACATTCGCCCTGTATTTCAGGAACTAAGGAGGCTAGGACATACCTATGTGTAGCATATTTAGTTTCATAAAAAAGTCGCAAAGTAATGTGAAAATCGCATCATTGTACCTCTACTCATAAACGAGAAATTCTATAAAATACACGAAAATGAGATACCCTGTACAGATGTGATGCGCAGTAGTGAACCGCAGTAGTCTACCAGCAGCCAGACGGCCCGCACTTTGGTCAGGTGAGAAGCAGAATTAAAAAAACAGCTTTCTTAAAATTCTCGTTTTCCCGACGTTACTTAACTCTTTTGACGTACTCTCGTTTGACTTAACTCTTGTATTATTATATTTTTACTAGCGTGTACCCGTGACTTTGTTCGCGTCGAATTAATCATTTGTAATGGTGATGATACAGCAAAGCAAGAATTTCCATTAACATACAAACTGGATAAAATTTTCTCACATTAATGTCAGCATGAGAAAAAAACAATATGGCGATATTATTATATAACTTGGTAATATTTGAGGGGTAGTTTCATCTCGTTGGAATTTGACTTTCGAAAAATCCGTTTGCAAAAATAAGCTTTTTACGTCAAGCAGTTTAAGCAGAATCGTGGTTAATCAATTACCCAACTTTTAGGAACACCCTAAACCCTAACCTAATAGCCTAAGAGCTGACGACATATTTAGAGAACATATTTTAGGCAAGCTAGAATAACTAAAAATGTATAGTCTATTAACTGGTGAACCCAGAATCCTAAGTCTGGCTGGGGGGTTGGGGGTATTTCGCTATTGCGCAACCCTTTGAATAAGAAGACTAAGGAAGGAGCATATCAAAAATCTTAGGTACACCGCGATGGGCCTTAAATATGGCCGACTTAAATTCCGGTTTATCAGTGTCGTTCTAATTTTATTTAAAAAATCTAAACTATGATGTAGGGTTGACGTGGGGTAGACTCAATAATATGTAGTTTTATTTTACGTTGTGAATAAACGTTGGTAGTTATTAAAATTGTTATAAAAATATATAATTCTAATAAAAATAGATAAGTTATAATAAGTATTTATTACCACAAACATCCGATACGCTACCGAAGCAGGTAAGTCAAATTAACGTATCTAAATTCTTTGACATCTAATCTTTGACAAGTAATAAATAAAAGCTAAAATGCAAAAAAAATAAATAATTTAGTTAATTTAAGTGAATTTCATAAATGATCGGTTTACTACACGTATGTATATTATATATTCACTTACTAGCGAAAAGTTGTTCCATTATTTCACTAAATTTTTGCCGAGTTCTACCGCACGCTACACAACCAACTATTTTAGAGTCTTTTTCGATAAATCGCGATAGTGTCACTGTTAATTTAAGTTCTGCCACAATTTCCATCTAGATTTACTACCTTTATACAACTATCAGTAGTAGAATAAATAATAAATAACATAAAATAAGCTCCGTAAAGACTGACAAATCCACAAAATTTCAAATCAAATTCAAATGTGTCAAATGAATCGTCAAACAGAACTGTCAAGGATCCCCAATCCCCACCCTGGAGTGCTTTTATGGTGCTTTTTCCGCCCACCATGCATGAATACATGGATAGGATTATGCTCCTTCCTTAGTCTTCTTATTCAAAGGCGCAACCCATAAAATTTGCAAAAAAATAAATCCAAAAAACATTCTTTAGGCAACTTGAAATTTGTTTATTCTTAAATTTTAGCATCTATTTAACCTAGAAATAAGTATGCCAGACTTTTTTTTCGGTTTTAAAGTGTAACCCGACCATTCCAAATATGTTTAATTATTATATCTGGAAAACATACTTTAGGCATTCTAAAATTTTTACAGCGTGTTTATTAGATGATATTAAAAAATATGTGTTAATTGCCAGACGAATTCAATGGGATTTAATACTTGCCAGACGCGAATAAAGATTTTAAATGAGCGCGATAAGAAAGTCTTATGAGTACCTATTAGCGCGAGAAAGATAGTTTATTGAGACCCGGTCGGCAGCCGATGCGGCTGACGTAACAGCATTTTGGAGTCGTAAAAACTTAAAAAAGAACTAACTAATATTGAATAAATAAAAAGAAACATTTTTTAATAAAAATGTATGATTGAAATCCTTTCAATGAGAAAACTTTTTAATTTAAGTATTTTGTTTCTGAAAGAATAAAAAGACGAATCATTAT